TTCACAAACAAAATTGTTCACAAAAAGCAGTTTGAGCCTGCGCACTCGCAGTCTAGGAAGTAAGGGCGCGATAGCCTGGGTTTCAGTTTCCGTAAAACCGAACGGCGTTGCCACTTCAAGTAACACCTGGCGGCTGGTGCGTTGTGCGCGAGAGTGGCCGTCGTGGAACAATGCTTTAGAATGCCTGAAAAAAATAACTCGTTTCGTTCAAGGATTAGGCTTGGTGTATCTTTTTCCAGCCTTGAGGCTGTCCTCTGGGGAGACTGACAGCTACAGCAACACAATAAGATCCTACTTCTACTCCTCCAATTATACCTCCAAATCCAGCACCACGTCGCAGTGTGGTTAAGGTCAATCCATTCAATTAATCAATTGATCAATCTAAGAATCGCACGGGTGAAATATACGTCCGGCTATCTTTTAAATGTACGGTTTGATGTACTAAAGCGTCGAAGTTTACTTCTTTCAAATGCATCATCAGTTTCGTCCAACCGTAGGCCAATGTTCAATAAGAACTGCGGAGCCGACGCTGTGCGGCCTATGGAGACTGCAACATCGATCATCATCGAGGTATTTGTAGCTAAGATTTGCGAGCGCACATGCCCAAATTTGGCAAATTTGTATCGCTGATCAATTCAGGCTGCTGTTGAAGGCTAATGTTGAAAATATCCAGACAAGCACGATAAATAAAAGTCTCTTCCCAAAAAATCACCAAATATGGTCCATTTGTCAATAAGAGCGTATTTTTCTCTGGTACTTTTCATTTCTACCTTCTATACCTGGAGCAAAAGCCGGAAGCCACCGCGAAATCAATTCTTTCCAAATTTCATGCTTAGTCAACTCCAGAAATCATGCGTTAAACGACCTCATTAAATACATCACTGGCGTTTGTCATTGTACAATGGCTGAGTGGAATCTTTCTAAGCCGACAGAACTCAGAGGCTCTGTCAGAATCTTTATCTGGGTTGTGCAGAGATATTACGGACCCCGCTAATGCACGTCGAAATGGGCTAACAATTTGCACTCACATGGCCGAACCGTGTTGGTCTGAAAATGCTCCACATTGAGTCTGAATTGATAACCGATGGACATTGTAGGGCACAGTTTTGAAGCATGAGTTCTCGCCAATCTTAGCAAATAAAACCTCGGTGCCTCGCGTTGCAACATCCATAGGCCGCGCAGCGTCGGTCCTGCGGCTAATGTTACGCCTGTGGCAAACGGTTGAACGGAAATGATGACGCCTTTTAAATCAGTACGTTTTAGCGGTTAAGGACATCAAACCGTACATTTAAAAGGTGGCCTGTTGTATTTCACCCGTTCGTTTTTTATTTCAATAAACTGAACGGATTTATTTGCTTTTACAGCACCGCGGAGTAGTGCTGGAATCTGATGGTACAACTGGAGGAGTGCAGGTAGAATCTCTACTTGTGTTGCTGAAGCTGTTAATCTCCCCAGAGGACAACCTCAAAGCTGGAAAACAAATACGCTCAGCCTAATCTTTGAACGAACGAGTTATTTTTCAGGCATTTGAGAGCATTGTTCCACGCCGGTTCCTCCCGCGGGCGCCGCACCGGCCGCCTGGTGTTACTTGAAGCGCCAACGCTGTTCGGTTTTACGGAGACTGAAACCCAGGCTATCGCTGCCCTTGCTTCCGAGATTGCGGGTGCGCAGGCCAAAACATGTTGATAAATTGATTCAATAGTCGATTCAGCAAAAGAATAGATGTTGTCAGGTAAACATGGTCTGGTCTGGTTCGTTTTTTTAAGTTATTGCTACCCACTCTATTCAGTACTAATCAGGCCCCTTATTTCTTTTCCGGAAAGGAGCCCGCTTGACAAAACACCAGCGGATGCACATTGCTGTACCCGGTCAAGCGTTGCAGGGCCATTCAGCCCCACCACAGGATGTTTTACAATTGTCATTATTGTGACACGGGACGGGGTCCCCCGGCCGATCCGGAGGCTCTTAGAGGTATACATCATATCACATTGGTTCCCTCCCTGACGCGGAAGACCTCCCGACCCGCACAGAACGCAGTTGATACTAGATCGACGCAGGGACCCCTATTGACGCAACAACAATTCTGATCGCCGCGGATTGGCCAATAATTGGCGCGTGGACTCCAGTTCGGCTTAAAGGGTCCGTGCTGGAATTGGGATGGAACCTGCAACGGCCGGTACTGGGCCCTGATTATTATAGGATAATTCCATTGTTTCAACACGAGCAATCATCATAATTTTCATGTTTCCATTCATTGACAGTGGGCCCCGACAACGTAAGAGGTCCTCTGTAATTCGGGGTCTCGTCCGCGTCCCTGTTCATCAAATCCTTCCCTGAACGGCTCGAGGCCCCTTGTTGACACAGGTCAGCTTGTTAGACACTATGGGTCCCTGCACGATACAGAAGCCCCGCATTGTTGCAGGGGTCCCGACCAATATAAATCGCGGGCCTGGCCGTGTCCCTGTTCGGGAAATGGGCCCCCTGGGCTCAGACCGACACGGTCTGCGCTTTGTTCTGACTGTTAGTGATTGGTGACCTCTAGGCCGAAGCAGAAGAATGCTCTGTCTCGGGGGTCCTTAATCAGTGCAAGAGGCACTCTTACTACAATGGGTCCTCAAAGGCTCAGACGGACATGGAGCCGACTGTTGCTCCGTGTCGAGGCTTTGTATAAGAGGGATAAATAGCCCTAATAAGAGGACCATAAAAGAGACCCTCCCACTGAGATTTCAGGTTACGACACTACAGGCGGGATAGGGCTGGGCCTGAGTCCAATTGGGCCCTTGATCTTCGGTCCCGAGGGGTCCTCCGGCCCCTCTTCGGGCGTCCTCAAACAAAGCCCGTGATCGACCAGCGACACGAGCCGAAACATGAACCCTGTTAAGTACTGCGGGCCCCTGACCGACACAGGGGCCCCAACCACTGTTTCAGGGACCCAGATCAATGCAAATCGTGGCCCCCGGGTTTGCTCCTGCTTGGGAAATGGGTCCCCAGGTGCAGACTGACAGGAAGCCGCGCAGGGGGACCTCTGACTGACATTTCAGGTCACCAACCTACGAGCCGCGATTACTGATGTGACACACAGCTTTCGGCCCTTAGGCCCTCCCAGAGCCTTTGGTAGTCGGTTCCGTTGGGTCCGGGCCCCTCTCCGGGCCTCATCGATTAGTACTCTTGGTCGGCTCGGGGCCCCTTGTGAGCAAAGGATCCTCTGTTAAGCGCTGCAGGCACCTGGCAGATACAGGGGCGCCGACCAGCGTAAACCACTGGCCCCAGCTTTGCAGCTGATTGGAAATGGGCCCTCAGTCCCACACTGATACGGAGCGGACTGTGCGGCGCTGATGGTGCCTGACCGATATGTTGCCCCACATCGACTCAGGGTATCCCTAATCGGCGCAGATGGCCATCTGACTGTCATTTGAGGGTCCGTCCCTGAAGTCTGGGAACCCTGAATAAAACTACGACCAGCCCCTCGTTCCCTTAGACCCTTCATTGGAGCCCTTGACTGTAGAATGGGCCCTCAGGCCCATGCTACCACGGAACCGAATGTGCGTTACTGGTGGTGCCTGACCAACATAAAGGCCGTTATCGACCCAGGGGTCCCTGATCAGCGCGTAGGGCCCTCTGGGATTGGAGTGCCTGGCCCTGCGGGCCAGGGCCCCTGAATACGACCTCTGGCCGGCATTTCGTCCCTTCGGACCCTTAATCGTAGGTCCCGAGGGGCCCGATGGGCCCTTCGGAATCTATGAGGAGTCGGCATGTGTCCCCTGTGCCCCCCCCCCCCCTCTGCTTACGCTACTGGCTCCTGCTGACGCCCTTGTGAAGGCAATGTCCACAAAAAATAATTATAAGAAATTGCAGCCAGCAAAGTCAAGAGCATGGGAATCAGTAGCATGTGCAACAACTGCTTCCGAATTTCGCTTACCCGCGCTCATGAGGCCCGCAAAGGGAGAAACTAGAAACACAAAATGAAACAGATTTCAATGCTGTTTGAATTACTGGTTTTGTGTGGTTTGCACGCGTGGCTTCGGTTTCAAGCCCCTGTTAAGCGAAGCTTGTTGCGTATACCCTGAACTCACCCACCAGCTGTGCTGTCCAGTTCCATGGACGACTGTCTCCACCCTTCGCTGGGAAGGACTCGCAAGGGTTTCACTTGCCAGACAACGCTGCGACAGAGCCGCTCCGGACTTCGGATGACTACTACCGGCCAGGGGCCTGCTGGCATGCCATGCCGGCTCGGTCAAGCAACGCGCTCGCACTGGGACTCGTGTCCAGTGCCGCCGAATAAGGAGTCCGGCATCTCCCTCTCAGACCGCGGGTGCGGCAAAATGGCAAAATGGTGGCCCATGTCCTGGCGGAATTAGCGTTGGGGTACACCAGGTCGATCGATCTGGACTAAGCCTTCATTTGCATTTGTAAACAAAGACCCGAACAAAAGGACAGTTGGCGGATGCCAGATTTGCTCACCATTCTGTGAAGCATTTCAACTGTGAAGCATTGTAGCGTTTAATCATGTGTAGGTTCTCGTTGAAATTTTTAAGACGAGCTCATTCTTGGCCTATGCAAAAGGCACCTAGCAGACGGGTCCTCAAATTATATACACATATATATACATATATATATATATATATATATATATATATATATATATACACATATGTATACTCTCACGGAGAAGGCTGGATCGTCCATCAGCTTGCTTGACCGCACTCTTATCTCCCACCGGAGAACGCGCTTTTGAAAAATGATTTGGGGATACCGGCCTACGACAGCAGTAAAAAGTCTCTTTAGGTCACTCTTTCCCCGCATCGCTAGTCAAAATTTAAATCAGAAATTGTCACCCCTCCCCGAAACCCTCGAAGCGGACTCCTCCGGGAGCCTGCCCCACTCGGCCTCAAAGCGTCGGGGCTGTCGTAGTGATCAGAGCGCACCACATCCCGACATCTGGGCCGAGCGTGCGGCGTCGCGAGCCTTCGAGGGGCGGGACGTCCGGCGCCAGCGGTGACTCAGCCGCGCGTGGCGCTTGGCCCTGGCCGGAGGGAGCCCCGGAGCAGCAGACAGATGCCGGCATTACCGCGCATTGCAGCGGCCCTCTGTCGCACAGGCTCCACCGGCAGTTGAGACCATCATTTGTGTCGGTGACCAGTATGTATTGTCTATATAGTCGACACAGCGCCGATGCGCCTATCTTCAAACATAATGCTTCTTCTGTATAAGCTAATAGCCTTCACGGTAAATGCTCAATAGTACACGAAAGTGACTATGACGACGGACAGCGCCAAGAGCACTACACACGGCGCCTTTGATACGTCTTACGTCTTAGGTTACATTACGAAGCATAAACAAAATTGCATGAAGTACAATGACAGCTTTGATCGCCACATCCACTGCGCATGGCTGTGAAACACCGAGCCGCTCGGACCGGATATATATATATCCTTACAAAGCCGCGGCAAGCGAGTGGTTCGGCCCAATCAATATTGCTGTAACGTATACCAGCATACGCCTCCAGGAAGGCACTGGCCATTGCCTGACCCCTTGGCTACGTTCACACTCTACGCCAGAGAGGAAATACACATGGTTGAGAGCAGCGCAAATTATTTAACCGGCATGGGATGTGCACGGCGGAAAATGCTGACTCAAGCTGATGAGGTGCGTTGGGCACGAGACATGATCACACTGTTTCTTGGAAAATAATTAACAAAGTTGACCAGAAAATACAAACAAGGCGCGACTAAGTACAACCATCATTTAATGAGCCCCGTAGCGCCGTTCTTCCTGTAGCGACATTGACATAATAACGCTGTAGAGGCGAACCTACGAAATGGAAGTCGATATATGTTATTTTAACGGCATCTTGCGACGAAAACGTCAGAATGAGGGAATGGTTCAGCGAGTGGGCGTGCACTATAAGCTCTAACTTAATCGGCATCGTACGCACTCGCACAAAACAATGAACGGATTCGTACAAGCACACGAACATTCCTCAGTGGGCACAATAAAGCCGTCCTCTGTTCAAAGAACTACCACCTGTGACCTCTGGGTTTAAAACAGGCAAAAGAAATAGGATTCGACGTTTTAAATGTTACGGGAACACGACGAACTCCAGTCACAGGTATTGCGCCATCCGAATGCCCGCTCTAGTCTAGACAATAAGGTACAACATATCGACCACAGCGGGTAAGTGGTAAGCAGGTCAAGATCCGAAAGTCGGCAAACACTAACGATGTGTTTTCTCGTCGCTTAGATCCTTTAGGTGCATCTACCTGTCCCAAGGACATTCTGAGCAAAGAAAGGAACGAACGACATCGGCTCGGCCCGAGAGGCTTAACATCCGCAGGCCCAGGCGCACAGGAGAGCCACGCACTGCTTACTTGACAGTCACCTTCACGAAGGCCCCATCATTGGGCACGATCACGCATTACCTAACAACTACGTCAGCGAAAGACATGTCACCAACCGCACGCACTTCCCAGTCCGCCACCGACGCCGGACACAAAACAAGCGGGCCTTTTCCAGCCCAGACCCGTCCGCCCTTAATCGCAGCTGACGGGCGCCCACACGCTGCCCTTCTGCCGACGCCCTGGTCATCCATCCCAATCGCAATGCATCGCGATGCTTCACTGTGGCCTCGCACTGACCGTCGTGTCGCAGCTGACTAGCTGAGCGTGCCCGGCGCCCAGCGCTAAGCGGAAACATAGCACACGCGTTTCGCCCCCGACGGAAGCGAAGCCTCTCGCGCAAGCCATCACGACACCAGAGACCTGGGGCGTACAAGGCGGGGCCCGCTGCAGCAGCCGGGTCCCGGCCGCTCCCCGCCGGCGGTGGCAGCGCGCTGGACGGCGGCGCGCGCCGCGTTCGCGCGGGTAACGCCGCAGCGCACTACCTCCGCCGGCTGAGCAGGAGCGCGCCGCCGCAGAGCAGCAGCAGCGGCGCGAAGCCGGCGGCGCGCGCCGGCGGCCCGGCAGCGGACGTGCTTCGCCGACACGGCAGCGGCCCCTCGAAGGCCCGCAGCAGGCTGTCGACCACGTTGGACGGCGTCGGATCGTCGCAAAGCCGGAGGGCGTCGGCGGCGCAGTCGTGCGCCACGAACATGCGGTGGCAAAAAGCGGGTGTGAAGCCGCGCGTCGTGCTGTCCAGCACGTCCGGCGCCGTCGACGCCGTCAGATTGTGTTTCTCCAGACACTGAGTCAAGCTGTCGCGCACCTGTTGCGACGACATACACTCCTGACCCTTCTCCCCCAGGAAGATGGCAATCCGCTCGCCGTCGTTGAAGCAGAGGAAGTCGACCGCCTCGCGCAGGCCGGCCATCAGCGTGGCGGAGTAGTTCTTGGCGCGCTCCGTCTCGTTCAGGCAGCGCTCCAGCTCGACGAGCGGCCGCTCAATGCAGTCCAAGATGCGTGGCGGCAGGTCGCGGCAGCGGCTCGAGAACAGCACGTCCAGCTCGCCGTTCTCCATGTGCCGCGAAATGTCCTGGACGATTTCGTCGACGTCGACGTTGTCCTTGACGCATTGCGCAGCGCGGTCGCGCCGCTCGGTCACGAAGTGCTCCGGGTCGGCGATGCCCTGCGCCCGGCACTGGCTGTAGAAGCCGTCGCGGGCCCGCTCCAGGCTGTCCCGCACGTCGTCGGGCATGGCACCGGCGGCGGCAACGTCCGAAGGCAGCTGCAGGCTGCCGCCGCCCGGTGAGATGGTGTCGGCCGCCGCCTCCCCGGCCAGCAGCGCAGCCAGCAGCACCGCCGCGACGATGGCGTGGGCCGACATTGGGAAGATCCAGACGTCTGCGCACGAGCGTGGCGGATTGTTATGCGAGCATTCCTTGCACTTTCCAGCTATGTGCTGGGATGATAACTTTGGATGCAAGGCAGACTGACTGCCAGGTCATGACGAGGTCATTATGTGTTCGGAGTTCTGAGTGAAAGAGCTGCAAGATAAAGGCATGGGATCGACAGTGCTGAATATCTTTCTTTGACACACTGCAGATATCATTTATAAATATTGTTGTGCTTTCTTTGGAGCAGCATATGTAATCTCAACAATGGGCAGTCTCCACTGCAAAATACAGCAATGTTTGGGAAGGTTTGACAACAACATTCTATCCAACCCAAAACCTTTCCCATATGTGATCATACTGTTATGTCTATGACTTGCTTTAATATATGCCACTTTATATGATAGGGCAATATCTTGAACTTACTTTCTTGAACTGATGACCATGAACTTACTTTCCATAAATAGCATGAGCTAGCAATGCTTTTTAACAAGCACATCTCTTTTACAAATGTGCTTGGTGAGCATGCTAGCAGTCAGCATGTAAGCACTTCGTTAGTACTTCTCATTTATTGCTGAATGAAAATATGGTGCTGGCAAACCCACAACATATGGAGGCAAATAACTTCCTTGCTTACCTAAGGAAGTGATGAAATTGTTCAGTGTGTGTATGTGTGAATGAATGGGGCATCACAACATACTCAGCTACTGAGGCTACATGACATCCCTGCCTGTCACCCTGGCAGGAATAAATGAAAAAACTGCATAACTGAATCTCACTGAACAATTATATGCTACTTGCAACTACCAAAACAAATGGTGAGAAAATATCAACAGCACAGAACACAAACAAACTGTACAATTTCACATGCAATGCACATAGTAGAGTGAGATACCTGGAAACAAAAGCACACATAATAGAAAAAACTGTTTTAGCAAACTATGCTATAGCAGTCAGTTAAACATTTCCATCAGACCATCACAGGTGCACCTAATTAGCACCAGATGAATCAATGGTTCACTTAATAGCACCAGATGGCTTGATGTGTTAAGAGAAACATTTTGATAAAATAATATAAAATATTTATCTTTCCAACTACAACTGTGTTGTATTTTCTATGATCCTGATATATAATTCATTTCTGGTGCTGTTTGTCATAAAGGAGTAGGCTTAAAAGAACATGAAAATTGAACTGACTGCTTGCAGGTATGGAAACCCTTCTTCAAGTCCTTTTGGCACCCAACCCCATTATGGTTCATTACCAACAAGACTGAAAAACATTGTGCCAAACATTTCACATGCCAGGCAAAACACAACATTTCCAGGAAAAATCTAAACATATGTATGCCATCAATCTGAGCATTCAAATCTCAAGTTAGTTTGCAGTCCCTTCCAATTTCATCAGAGGCTAGTCTGCAAACATCTGTCCACTGTGGCTAAAAATTGGATGTTTTTTGTTTGATTTCCTGAATTTGCATGTGTTCATGGACCTCAGAGTGTGCTTACACCAAACTTGGCCACACTAAATTGTACTGAATGTTCGAAAAGTTTTATTTGGAAACATTGGCTGGCATTTCCTGTTGAATTACCAGAAGCAACATCACAATTGCTTGAGACATTGGCTCTATATGGACTGAGATTGGCAGTGACTGCACCAAAACCTTTCTGTTGCCAAGGTGTTGCTCCAGAACCATACTATGTTTACCATGAGCTGCATTGTTTGCAGTCCGGTTATACAGAGCCAATTTCAAAAGACTATCATGTTGCAAAGGTAATTTCAGGCAGCAATACTGCAAAAAGCATCTTGTACATTCCAAAGTCATTCAATAATTCGGTGCAATTCAATCTAGCCTGAGTTTGACACTCTGTACGTCTCCTGCATATCTGGCCGCAAGAAGTGAGACCAGTGGACGATATATTTAAGGCAGGTCCGATCCTGTCTCGCATGGGACAACAAACTTCTTTCGTCGGGGGCAGGGGCCGGTGATTTCAGCATGGACGAATGTCGACCTATCGACTTACGAATAGACGACAAATATCTCAGATCCCGGACAAATACGCAGAACCAGCCGACGACTCCCACCGGCACCGTCAACCACTGGTCACAAACTTTGGGGATGCAATCAAGGTCGCTATAAAGACGGTAAAGCCTGTCCGGCTGGTTCTCGCATCATCCTTGCTTAACATTAGCATGACGCCATTGAGTCAAGGCTTCGATGCGATGTGGGCCGCTGGGATGCCGGATGCAATGCTTGTGACGTTCGAAATTGCTAAAGATTTTGTTAGAACCAGTTCTGAGGACGCAGACAAAGAGGCAACCGGGATGAAACAGTGCTGAGATGAGGCTGATCTCGAGAAAACGGATGTGTGTTCACGGCACATTCAGGTGTGCGAACCAGTTTCCGAGTGATTGCCAGTGCACCGCCCCTTTCCCAGCTGCAACCTGAGCTCTGGAAGTCCATCGCCCAAGGCGGCTCCGTGGACTCAGAAGTGATACGAGAATTGAAGAAATCTTTAAAAATTCTTCACTGCTCAAAATGCCACTAAAATAATACAAAATAGCATTGGACGATATAATACTGGAAAGCTGAAGTGGCACGAACCAGATTTCATAAAGTGTTATCATGCTCCATCATTTGCGGCTACTGCTAGCGTTACCACGGGAGCGCCAGAAATGATTGGGACTGTTGACAGGGGTGGTGTTACGTTGCATTACAGCAAGACGGCGTGTGGCGCGGAGGGCTGCGGCTCGGACCAGTAGCGCAATGATGGCACTTCCCCCGGAGATGATCCCATCGCAAGCCTTGGCGGGTCCCACCAGCTCCACCCCGTTCCCGATGTCACCCGTTAAATGGCCACTGCCCGTTCCTCCGATCGCCATTCAGGAGATCTATGACGACGAACAGGAGGACACGCCACCGAGCTCGCAGGGGTCTTTGCGGACGCAATACCGACTGCATTGACGCGGCACAAGTGTTACGAGGCCCATGTCAGTTCAGTAACTCGCGATCACCACCCAGCTCCTCACCTCGCCACAAAATAAAAGCCATGAAAGCGGTTTATTACAAATTACTGGCTAAACAGCACACGGTTAACCGCCGTCAGCACAGTCGTGGGACGGGAAATGGGGAACGCTGGACTGAGTCGGGCAGCCTGCCAGGGCGGCGGCCGCTGCAGCGCATCCAAGCGAGAGCGCCTGCAGGATCTGCTCCGTACGGTCATCTATCACGTCGCACGTGCTGCGGGGAGTGCTCTCAGTGCGCCAGACTGGCGAGCACTGGCAGCTCGGCGCGAACCGGATCGAGCGACTCCGTTATCGCTTCCGGGGCGGTGGGTGGACGCTCCATGAGCAGATCGATCTGTCGGAGAGGACCAAGGGGAGAGTAAACATATCGATCAGAAGTACGGGACGGTCTGGTGACCCCAGGATGTTATGATTGGCCCGGTAGAGAAGAGGGGGAGGGAAAATCTTTTGAGATAGCGTTGATGATGCATCAGGAATCGGTGACCGAAAACAACGCATGATCGGGATCGGTGCAAACTTTATCATTTTCCGTGTCAATAAACATTATTGGCCTACTTAACTCTGATCATTTATTATTTCAGTTTCGCCAAGAACTGAGGAGTGTTGTCGAATGCGGGCTATTCGACATCGTATGATTCGAAATGGGATTAAAAATGAGGACCGAATTGCTTTACACTAACCACGGCGATCGAGCCCGCCCGGTGCGATCAAGAGTGCCAGAGCAGGTTGACAGTTGGGCCCCCCGATAAGAGTGTGCCGCCCTCCATTGAAAAAGCGAGTACCCAAGACCCAGTGTGGATGACTCCCGAACGACTGAGTAGTCCTGAGTAGGTGAACAATTGGAGGCCCCTGACACGAGCGTCGGGCCCTCCGTAAGTGACAGGAAATCAGAAGGCCCTTCGACCAATGTGGGGGGCCCATTATATCCAGCATATCTAGCATATTGCGAATGCGTCGGAACGTTAACCGAGACCAGTGTGAGGGACCCCTCAGAAACCAAAGTACTCTGGCAGGTTAACACATGGGTCCACGGTTATAGCATGTATCTCATTTTGGGCGAAGGGAACAAACCGTTGAGGACCTCTGATCGATAAGAGTGCCCCAGCATACTGGCTGCTAGGGCCCCTACAACAGCGTAGGGCTCCCGAGCGAATGTGAGCAAATCAATGGCAATGTGGAAGGCATCTTAGCGATTGGCTTGATCCTGCAAGTGGGCGTGTAGTGCCCCCGGCAATAGCAAAGGGACTCTGGACAACTTAATAAACCCTACGATGTCCCCAATTACCATTACCTCAATCAGGAAATAATTATTTTTGTCTGCTTGTGGATCTGTACCTCTCATTTACGACTGGCCTTGGTCGCCTGGAGGTCCAAAGATGTTAAATTTTGTCGCACTTTGTGATGCGAAAAGTTAATTTGCAAAAAGTGCGTCCGTTCGGGCTGGCCATGGGACCCTTCGGAGCCCATGTGGACCACTTCGTGGCTCAAGGGGAGCCATGGTCCCGCGGCTTTCCTCTGGATTCACCACTGGGTGCACGCAGCCCAGGATTGCGTTTGCAACGTCGAATCATGTGGGCCCTCGCTCCAGGCCCACCGGTTTTGTTCTGCACTGGCCACCGGTCTGTCATGTAAAAACCGCAGCAGGGCCTCGCGCGTACCTCGCTCCGGCGAGGTGGGGACCGCGCTTGGCACGGCGCCTCCGCGACTCTCACTGGGCGGGAGGACGGTCCCCTGTGTGGCGTCGTTCGATCGTTCGCGTCGTGATATTAGCAGCTGCACGCGTGACCCACGCAGGGTCTCGCGCGTTGGCCGGAACTAAAGCGGTATGCGATGTGCCGC